CTGCCTCTTGATAATAACAAACTTAAGAAAATAAAAAAACAGGAAGAAAAAAACCCAACAAAACCCCAAACAAAACAACCCCCCCAATAAAACCCCAAAACAAAACAAATCCCCAAACCCAAATAGATCTCAGTTTGATGTTTTGCTTATCTTCCAGTTAGATATGATGAACACATTTATATGCTGAGTACAATCCAGTCTGTTTCATACTCATTGTGTTCCATACACCACATTAACACAATGYCACCTCATTTCGGGAACATTCAAAAATATAAGAGTTGCCTGACAGCAACTAAGTCTTCAGATTTAAGCATGATGTTTTATTTCATTTGAAATGCCCTGACTCACCCATTGCTGTAAGGGAATCCTGGACTATGCTTAGACAGGGATGGAGAACTGTCATTCCTCRTGTTTGGTAAGTGCAAACTTAGCAAAGTAAGCTTCTTGAGCTACTGCTTTAACTCTGACCCATGTCCCAAAACTGCTTCTGCTGCTTGCACCTTTAAAACCCTCATCTGTGCACTATTACAAGATTTAATACCTACCATTGCTTCTGCAAAATACCTGATTTCAAAAGAAATTGCACAGGCAGATGTTGTAGGAAATGGACAGGGAAGAAAGACTACAACCAAAATAGTATTTTAGATTGGTTATTGAAGATTTAGTCCTTTTAGAAATCCACAAAAATGTTTAAAAAAGCAACATACACAACAATTGAGTCTTTTAAAGTAAGTAATTCCCAGATACTTTCTCAAAAAGATTTGTGCATGAAACACTGAATTAAATCCAGTAAGAGCATGTGACATCCTCTGCTCTAGGAGAAAAACAAAACCACCAAATAATAAAGTATTTTGGATAATACTGGATTTTGTCCCAGGATTTACAGAAGTTAACAAGATATCCATTCACCTGCTTTGCTGCGCATCAGGATTGGCTCTTTTCAAATGTTTACACAAAACCCCCCATAATTTTGCTCAGACCTGGTTTAGAAAGGTGATKTACTTGTTTTTCACTTCCAAGCCAGAAAGCCAGTAGGCTACAAAGTTATCAGTTATCTTAACTAATGTTAAGTCAGTACATATAAAAACCACTATAGAAACACAAAGATGGGATATTTTTCCTCTTCTTTACAGCATTTGCCCAATTCTATTAAGTTACAATTGTCAATCTGAAAACAAGTTAATATAAACACAAATTTTATTATCAGCTTCTCAACAGACACATCAAATTCCTCCACAGAGGCAAATGCAAGAAATCTCAGTTTCTCTGCACTGTTTCAGAAGAGCAGAGAGCCTTGTTCAGGATCATCTCCTGTCAAACAGGTGATTTCTTTGGAAGGTGACAATTCATAAGKTGCCACATCTAGATCCTGGAGGGAGATCATTCACCTACCCATCTGCCAAAACTATTACCATAAACAAAGGCATTCCCACATTTGGAATACACACCAAAGACACATTCAAAAGTGCTAGAGGTGGGATGCACAGGAACAATTGAAAAAAAAAAAAGATTAAAAAACCTACTAACAGAAGCACTTGAAAGGAACCACTTCCTGGACAAATATAATTTTTCACATTATTTATTTTTCCAACCCAGCAAAAACTGTCAGTTAGTATAACATAGACCTATATACTGCAAAAATACAATAAAGCTCTTCTAACAGCCATTTCTTCTAGTGGTAGAGCTCCAGCAAACGGGTCACTGTGTTCATGCTGGCATGCAGAGAACTTGTCTCTGTCACATAGCTAATCCTGAGAACACCCAACCCCCCTGCCTTCTGAATTTCATGGAACAGCTCAGAAAACAGTTAAGGTCATGACAAAAAGTCATGGTTTTCCATGTTTAGACTGGATTGGTGACATGTTGCTGCAAAGGTATGAATACTATTGCTTACCTGGAGACTGCATGGACTTCTTATGACCACAAATTACCACTTAAATGCCAGATGAATTCCAGCATTARGCCTTTCAAAGACAATCCAGGTTTCAAAGTCAAGCTAACCAAGGACAGCGGGCAAAAGACAAAAATGCTTACATGATTCAAGCAAGATAGAACAATGATAATTAGGTCTATAACCAAAGCATTTACCTTTTTTAAAACTTTTAATTAAAAGCACATTTTTTTTTTCTTTATAGGAATCCATTTCCTAGACCAGTTCACTTTTATTCTCCTTACTACCCAAACTTAGTAAAGTATTTCTGAGATTAAAGAGTCATTTTCCATCAATGCAGTGATGAACCAGTATCAGGATGACTTTTTTCCTGTTTTCAGTAACTCTTCTCCTACACATGTATTGATTTTCCTTATTGCCAGCAAAAGCATCTGCTTTTTTTTTTTTTTTTTTTTTTTTTTTTTT